ATAGACCAACCCCCAGCTCAGGCACGAGATTCTATACCATTCCAGACAAATGACTGTCCAATCTTTTCTTAAAATCTTCCAGCGTTGGAGCATTCACAACTTCTGGAAGCCAGCTGTTCCACTGGTTAACTGTTCTCACAGCCAGGAAATTCCTCCTTAGTTCTAGGTTGCTTCTCTCCTTTGCAGGCGTTCCTTGACTTACAACCACAATTGAGCCCGAAATTTCCGTTGGTGAGTGAGACATTTGCGAAGTGAGTTTTGCTCCATTTTACGACCTTCCTTGCCATGGTTGTTAAGTTAATCATTAATACGTTAGCTAACACGGTTGTTAAGTGGCTTCTCCATTGATTTTGCTTGTCAAACGGTCACAAAAAAAAATATATGATCACATGACCCCGGGATGCTGCAACGGTCATAAGTATGAAACAGTTGCCGAATGTCTGAACTTTGATGACATGATCATGAGGGATGCTGCAAAGGTTGTAACTGTGAACAATGGTCATGTAACTTTTGTCAGTGCTGTTGTAATTTTGCATGGACACTAAATGAAGGATAAGGACTACCTGTTACTAGTTTCCATCCATTGCTTCTTGTGTTCACTTTCAGGGGTCTCCAACCTTGGTAACTTTAAGACTTGTGAACTTCAATTCCCAGAATCCCTCAGCCAGCAAAGCTGGCTGAGGAATTCTGGGAATTGAAGTCCACAAGTCTTAAAGTTACCCAGGTTGGAGACCCCTGTTTTAGATAATAGACTGACCCCTTCTTCTTCTCTGTGACAGCCCCTCAAAAATTGGAAGACCGCTCTCCTGTCTCCCCTGGTCCTTCTCTTCCCAAGACTAGCCAGGCCCAGTTCCTGCAAACGTTTTCCAAAATGTTTTAGCCTCCAGCTCCCTAATTATCTCTGTTGTTTTCCTCTCACTCTTTCCAGAGTCTAGAGGTTTTAACTCACTGGGGGAAAAAAAATCGGATATCTCAGAACATTCATATTACGCGTTGCTGTGGGGATTGCTGCTTCCAAGCACTGAGAAATCTTACGAGGGGGAAATAATATAGATTTTTGCACAAAGTGACTCGTTCTAAATGAACATGGCCACATCCGGTAGCCTTTATCAAAAGATAGGCAAGAACTCAGGAGTGGAAATTGTTGTAGCAGAAAAATACATGATTGCTTCCTCTGCTTTTCTTCTATTGGGTTCCCCGGGTAACAGCAAATGCAGCTAGTCCTTGACTTACAACCAAAACGGAGCCCCAAATTTCCATTTCTAAGCCGAACCCTTATTAAGGGAGTTTTGACCCATTTTACAATCTTCCCCTGCTCTCATTAAGTGAATCACTTCAAAGGTTAAGTTAGTCACAGTTGTTAAGTGAATCAGGCTTCCCCACTGCCACTGCTTGGGAGAATGTCGCAAAAGTGGATCGCGTGACTCCGGGACACTGCAACCGTCATAAATATGAGTCAATTGCCAAGCTTCTGAATTTTGATCACGTGACCACGGGGGAGGCTGCATTGGTCGTAAGTGCAAAACTATCATATCACTTTTTCAATGTTGGTATGTCTCTAAACGAATGGTTATAAGTCGAGGATTAGCTGTAGGTGGCATGGGATGGATGGAAAAGTTATACTTGGGTGTTGAAGGACCACACACTTTGTGAGGAGAACATCACAACTAATTGGAAGGTTGGAAGTTTCTTTTCTGGATTATTTTTTTTTATTGGTAATATGCCTGCTTAAAATTTCCACATCATTTTTACACATTTCCCATCTAGCAGAGGAATATATATATATATATATTTAAAACTGAAACGGCTGTGATAGTCTGACTCACAGACGAACACAATACAGAAGCCTGATGATGGCAGATGAGATTCTGCCGAAACGTTGCTACAACTTTAAAAGCACGACTACAATGACGTGGGAAAATACCCGAACAAAGCTGAATGCCATACATGTAAGTACCCGCGAAAACTTAAGAAAACAAATATATATATATATATATATAATACACACTGCTCAAAAAAATAAAGAGAGCACTTAAACAACACTGTATCTCCAAGTCAATCACACTTCTGTGAAATCAAACTGTCCACTTAGGTAGCAGCACTGATTGACAATCAATTTCAGATGCTGTTGTGCAAATGGAATAGACAACAGGTGGAAAGCATAGACTGTTAAGCAAGACATCCCCAATAAAGGAGTAGTTCTGCAGGTGGTGACCACAGACCACTTCTCAGTTCCTACGCTTTCTGGCTGATGGTTTGGTCACTTCTAAATGCTGGTGGTGCTTTCACTCTAGTGGTAGTATGAGACGGAGTCTACAACCCACACAAGTAGCTCAGGTAGTGCAGCTCATCCAAGATGGCACATCAATGCGAGCTGTGGCAAGAAGGTTTGCTGTGCCTGTCAGCGTAGTGTCCAGAGCATGGAGGCGCTACCAGGAGACAGGCCAGTACATCAGGAGACATGGAGGAGGCCATAGGAGGGCAACAACCCAGCATCAGGACCGCTACCTCCACCTTTATGCAAGGAGGGACAGGAGGAGCACTGCCAGAGCCCTGCAAAATGACCTCCAGCGGGTCACAAATGCGCATGTGGCTGCTCAAATGGTCAGAAACAGACTCCATGAGGGTGATATGAGGGCCCAACGTCCACAGGTGGGGGTTGTGCTTACAGCCCAACACCATGCAGGACGTATGGCATTTGCCAGAGAACACCAAGATTGGCAAATTCGCCACTGCGCCCTGTGCTCTTCGCAGATGAAAGCAGGTTCACACTGAGCACATGTGACAGACGTGACAGGGTCTGGAGACGCCGTGGAGAATGTTCTGCTGTCTGCAACATCCTCCAGCATGACTGGTTTGACAGTGGATCAGTAATGGTGTGGGGTGGCATTTCATTAGGGGGCCGCACAGCCCTCCATTTGCTCACCAGAGGTAGCTTGACTGCCATTAGGTATCGAAATGAGATCCTCAGGCCCCTTGTGAGACCATATGCTGGAGCGGTTGGCCCTGGGTTCCTCCTAATGCAGGACAATGCTAGACCTCATGTGGCTGGAGTGTGTCAGCAGTTCCTGCAAGACGAAGGCATTGATGCTATGGACTGGCCTGCACGTTCCCCAGGCCTGAATCCAACTGAGCACATCTGGGACATCATCCACCAATGCCACATTGCACCACAGACTGTCCAGGAGTTGGGGGATGCTTTAGTCCAGGTGTGGGAGGAGATCCCTCAGGAGACCATCCACCACCTAATCAAGAGCATGCCCAGGCATTATAGGGAGGTCATACAGGCATGTGGAGGCTACACACACACTACTGAGCCTCATTTTGACTTGTTTTAAGGACATTACACTCAAAATTAAAGTGGAAAAAAACACTACAGGCTGATCCAACTTTGATGTAATGTCCTTAA